AAAGTGAGAGCAGAACATACGTTTGTGTGTACTGGCTACGCAAAAGCAACTGATGAAAGCCAAAGGTATGCTGGGTGTATTTGCGACTTGAGTACAACTGCAAAGGCGAGAGCGGAAGGAAGTTTGTGTGTACTGGTGACTGGAGAGCAACTGACTAAAAAAGTCTTCTTCTCTTTCCAGTCTGTTCTAGGATTTATGGAATTTCAGCTTATATTAAATTTATATACAAAAAATTGGAGGAAGAAGGAAGAAAATATAAAAACTTTCATTATTAATTGAGAGTGAAAAATGTTTACATACAACATCCACAATGTCAGCTGTAAACTGATTAACATCCTTTCGCAAAGAGCTAAAATCTATTGCGGTATGAGGAACGGCATTCGAGGTCATTTACAAGGGTGTGGTGATCCCTATTCTCATGTTTGGGCTGAGGCTATGAAAACTCCGGCTAACATAAAGTCCCTAAGAATTGTTCAAAGGAAAATATTACTCAGGATAATGAAAAGGATGTTTTCAAGCAGCATGTGTGGTGAAAGGATTATTATCAGTCAATCAAAATAAAACTTGAGATATCTGAACACAAAAGAACTAACAGAAAAACCTGATGAATGGTGTCATCTGGTTAAAAAATAAAAGTAATACTGCCCATAGGAATAACACCCTACTACAGGATTTTTACTGGGTTTTGTCTACATGATGATATGGTGGGGACCACAATGGTGATATATGGACTGAATCCAACGCTTTATATTTGTAAGAACCAATTCAGGCTAGTAAAACATTGCTCAAATAACCAAGCCGAGGCTTTCTCAAGCAGTGAAGTAGCAGCAGTTCCAGCAAACAGCAGGAACTAGGGAATGCACAGCAATAAACATTTACATGGACAGCCAAATTATTCTTGATTTGATTGAAGATCCTACTAACCATAAGCCCCTAATCGAAAAAAACGATCCCTTCAGTACAACTTGATTGCAGAAGGAAAAAATATGAGTGGAAGGGTCAAAGCCCATTTGGGTCTGGAAGAAAATGACAAAGTCAACGAATGTGCAAAGGAGGTGGCTACCGATCTCTCACTTTTTGTCAGCTACGAGAAGATGCCTCACTTACATCTGGAGTCAGAATGGAGGAATGGGAGATCTGTCGACGGAGAAGACACAAAAAATATTTTCCCACCAATAAAATTTTCATACAAACAATTCCATTTTTTGTAATTTGTCTGCTGAGAATTGGAAAAATGTATCAATGTTGTGTATTGATTTGTGCACCGAAATTTAGTATCAAAGTCATATTTTCTTCCATAAATTGACACCGTGTTCGTACCTTCTTAGCAAACATTTCTCATACCATTAAAACGTTCTCTGAATAGTAAATTTTATTAAATGCACATTGAAAGCCAAATTGATTTTGCGATAATGTGAGGAGCTTAGAAAATCCATCAGAAAGACATACACTGATCAACTTTTATCTTTAGTAGTAAGAATGGCCATATTGTTTGTTTAGGGACAGCTTCATGCATTGTTAGAACCTATCAAGTGTGGCATGGTTATTTAATAAAATTCTCATTGAAAATCTGCCGATCCTGAATGATAATTCCTCACTGTTTTTAACCCTTTCAGGACAGTAAGCGTGATATTGCTCTCTTGCTTCCCCCCTCCCAATGAGGTACTGAGAGACTTCACATTCACTCCCTACCTCTACTCAGGTACTGTGACTGAAGTTTAAAGAAGCAGAGTGTTTCTTAAAATTATAAACAATAGAATTAAGTTTTGGGGGGACCTCGGTAGCCGAGTGGTTAGCATGAGAGACTCTCACGCCGCAGTCGTGGGTTCGATTCCCACCGTCGCCTCTGGCCCTTTTTTCACAATAACCCCCCCAAATTTGAACACACATATATGAATTGTCACATGGCTAATATGCATAGTTCATAACGCCAAAAAAAAAAACATAATTAAGTTTTCTACATTTTTCAATCTCATGAACTATTCGTAAAAATAATAGCTTAAACAGCATGCTGCTTCTACGAACTCAAATCTAAAAGTGAAGAGATAGAGTACAATATCACGCTCTCAGTTCCTCACTTGGTGAAAGAGAGCACTGACCTTCCTGAATGGGTTAATACTTTCATGTCGAACTAATACCAAATTTGAAATCAAATTATTTGTGTTGCAGATAATGGAAATAGATGAACTAATGGACAATTCTGACCAAGATAGCTGTTCTTCCTCAGATTATGAAGAAGAAAAGGCTTATTTTAATGAAGAAGTTACGTGCTTATTTTGTAGCAACATATCAGTGTCTGTACCAAAATCTATTGTTCACGCACAAACTGAACACGACTTCAACCTGTACACAATCAGGGTTTGTACTGTTTCTGATATATGTAATTTTGTATCCCAAATATACTGAAACGGTCTCATATTCTGATTTTATTTTTCAAGACGTCTTTGACTTTTTTGGGTTAAATTTGAATTTGTGCTAATTAGCCCAATTTTCAATTATATTCTGTCCTGTGTTGTATCTGTATTTCCTATATATCTATGCGTATTTCCAAGATTATTTGGAGATTGTGAGATGCGGTCTGGTGTGACATAGGTTTAGAAAAACATTTTCTTTATCGCACCTACGTTTATATCTTTATTGAGATCATATTCAGAGCCTGGGATTTATAAACATTTAAAAAATGTTAAAATAAATTTAAACAAAGATTGAAACATTGGCATGATAAAGAAAATTAACGGTCACGAAACACCACACAAACAAACACTTTGAGTGATTACAAATACTTTGATTGAGTCTAAAAAAATTCTAGCATTGTATAAATTCATTTTTTAAATTTATTAATTTTTTTAATCTAAAATTTTTTAGCATTGTATAAATTAATTTTTTTTAATCTGAAATTTTCTAGCATTGTATAAATTTATTTTTTTAATTTAAAATATTCTAGCATTGCATAAATTCATTTTTTTCCACATCCTACATGTATTTGTAAAATTTAAACAATGTTTATAAATCCTAGGCCCTGAAGATTATTTCAATATTTTATTTTATTTTTATTTATTTATTTTTATTATTTTTTTATATTTTTTTTATCATTATTATTTTTTTTTTTTTTTACGAGGGCTCGCAACAGCAGAGGTTATATCAACCCTCGGGGTGCCGGTGTTTTTGATAAAAAGCCCATTTGTAAGTATGTCGAGTTCGAATGCAGGGCCGCTGGATTCGAACCCAGGACCTTTACCTTACAGTGATGAGCGTCGTGTCAATGCCTAAACCGTTGCGGCCACCGACGCCCCTATTATCTTAATAAAGATCGAAATGTTGGCACAATAAAGAAAATGCTCTTTAAAACCTACGTCACACCAGACCGCATCTCATGATTTCCGAATAATCAATAAGCAAGGGATTCTCCATCACACTCGCCTACCATTGTAGGAAGAAAGCCTATTTTATGGAGGTTAATGGTAAGCTGTTATGATTCAGTCACAGGTGAGTGACTGAGGTGGGAAGCTTTTTTAGGTCATTAAATTTTGTAAAGCAAGGTCTAGTGGGGATGGTCGGTTGCATCGTTGCATATATTTTTCCTTTAATTATTGTGGAATTTTTATTTCAGCCATGGTTCTCTGTCAAATCTTGCTAAATGAGCCACAATATCGGTCTCGGTGACAACATTTCGTGGTATACCATTGCAGACTGCCTCCTTGGCTAAAAGGTCTACCTCGTCATTGTATGCTGTGCCCTTTACCCATATTAGAAACACGGAGAGGCCCCTTTGTTGAACAGCAGCTCAAACTAATAGTTTCAATCAACATGTCTTTATGATGGCCTGGGTTTTTAATTGCCATTAGTACACTGCGGCTGTCTGAAAGAATAATTGAGTTTGGGTATCCCTGTGCGGATATGTGATTTAAGGCTTAAACAATAGCTATGCCTTCTGTGGTAGCCTTCTGTACCTATGTTTGGAAGTTTCTTCTGGATCATAACACTTTTTCACATCTAGTACCACTGCATCAGTTCCTCTTGTTGCTCAAGTATAGCATTCCTATGTCAGTTAGCTGAGCTTTGGCCTATTTCATAACAACCTGTTACAAACTCTGGCTTATCGTGTAAGTCCTCATATGCTGTTATATTCAGGTTATAGGCTTGGAGTAACCAAGGTTTCACATTGCTTGTCTTCAGTATTTCTTTTCCTAGCAGAGCTCTTTGATTCACATTAATATAAGGAGAAGAAAGGGTTTACCAGACTTATGAAGACGGTGTAGGAAAGTGTGGCGCATTTTGTAAAAGGACTTTGATTGCTGGGTGTGGGTCGCTGCTAATCCGTGATGCAATACATTTTCCTGCCAATTTCTGTCATCTTAATTGTAGTGGGCGCATCCCAGCCTCGCACAAGAGTGCGTTTATAGGCGTAGACTCCATTGCCGCTACACAGCATCTAACTGCCTGGTTTTGAAGCCTATCGAGTTGTGACAAGTATTATTATTATTTTTTGTACTCCTCGTCCCCTTAGTGGCAAGAATGCCACAAGTTTACATGCAATTTATATGCAAGGAATTACATACAAGTTTACATTTTATGCAATTGTCTTAATTTTTACACTCTTGCAATAATATTATGGTACCCTCTTATAAACTCACATTGATATGTACAAACAACTCACAATTTTTCTAAGTTAATTAAATTGAAAAATGTTATAAATTCTACATAGCATTTGTGATCAAAGTTTCTTGCGATGTTAGCCAACTGTCTCCTTGTAGCATAATGTTTGTTATGAACGGCGTTCTTTCTTGATTGAAGATCATTCATGCGAATATCATATGCCTGTGTATGTTTGGGGACCCAGACCACATGGGCATTCTGAACTTTCAATTATTTTATCTTGCCAGATAAGAGCTATTCTTTCCGTGTCTTATCAGTACCACTGTTGTTTTGAAGGTATGTTTTATTTGTCTTCAACTGGCTCTGCACTGTAGGGAAAAAGGCTTTCGTTTTTCCAACATCCTTTGTTAACCATTCCTTTTCCCATTCCTTCAGAACATCGTTCAGTATATTTTTTTAATGTATGTTTTTGGCACCACTAAAATTAACTTCTAGATCCTCCTCCAGGGCGCTTCCTTAGCGAGTTTGTCCGCAACCTCGTTGTCGTAATTTCCCTTATGTGCTTTGACCCACATTAAATTTATTATCCACTTGTCTTTTCTCCGCAGTTCTCTCAACATTCTTCTTATTCTCTCTGCCTTCATGTTATGGTCCACTTTCAGTCTGTATTAATTCCGCCTTATTCGATTCCTTATGTTAGCATCTTGGATTCACTGTACCACTCTATTTATTGCAAACAGCTCTACCTAATTGTTGGTAATCATGACGCTAATGTATATTTCTTTTTGTGTTTCACAATATCCTGGCTGATTACATTGTCCTCAATTCTGCTCCCATCCGTGTATATTTAGTATGTATATTCATTTACCGCTTGGTGATCTGTGATATTTTCCATTTTTGCTGGATGTGGCCATTCTTCAACTGTTTGCGGTAACTCCACTTTGTATTCTGAGAAACGTTTTTGAATTGTCCTTTTAAAAATCGTTTATTCTTCAACAATTGCTTTTATTGTGTATTATTATTATCGATCTATGTGTGTATTATTATTATTATTTTTTAATTTGACCATTAATATATTTTCAGGACAACTTTAACCTAGATTCCTACGGTTATATAAAATTAATTAATTATATCAGGACGGAGAAGCCAGATATTAAAACTATTAAGGAGTGTAAGGAGCCTTGTTGGATGGATGAACGTTATTTAAAACCATTTGATGTAAATGACCCATTTTTATGGTATGGTAAGTGGTTTAATTTTATTAATTTATTTTTTCTTTTTTAAAAATCAACATCTAAATTAAACAACAAATTTAATGTACAAATGAGGCATTAAAAAATTATCATGATCAATACTTCCAAAATTAAAGTGATATTTTTCATAAATATTTATCTTGTTACATAATAAACAAAATAAAAGTACATTAAAATGCCCAAGAAAGAAGTGCTTTTGTGCCCGTTCAGGAGAGGTTTAAATTTAAAAATAAATAAAGATAAATGTTGTTGTACATAATGCATAATATTTTTAATTCATTTAATTAAGGTTTTTAGTTGAGATAAAAAAGTCAATGGCACGAGCGGGATTCGAACCCACGATCTTCAGCTAGATACGCCGCTGCTCTACCACTTGAGCTATTGTGGCCTCGATCCACTCGGACACTAACTTCCCATCTCAACCCCACCTTTTGAAAAATGGCAAAAATGAGGGAAAATTCAAAAGGTGGGGTTGTTGAGATGGGAAGTTAGTGTCCGAGTGGATCGAGGTCAAGATAGCTCAAGTGGTAAGCAACGGCGTATCTAGCTGAAGATTGTGGGTTTGAATCCCGCTCGTGCCATTGACTTTTTTATCTCAACTAAAAACCTAATTAATTGTAATATATTAATTGGTCAAGCGGACCACGAAATTAGTGAATTTTTAATTCAATGAATCTTTTATAAGTAAATAAAAACATATATTTGTACTAAAAAAAATAATGATTAAAAATATGTATTAGTTGGTCCTATTAACCAAAGTAATTATTTTAATTAATTAATTATTTTTTATGCAAAGTATGGTTAAGTATTAATGTCATGATGGAACTCGAACCCACGACCTCCAGATCAGTGCCCCAGCGCTCCTACCACTTGAGCTATCATGACGCCTGTCATCGAGGGGTACCAATCTGGTGGTCGTGGGTTCAAGTCACTCTTGGACACTAATTGTTCAGCTCAACCATTTGACAACTCTTTACGACATTACAGCCTGCGACCAATATTGGTCTCTTGTACAATCTCAAATATCTGGAACACTTTGTTAAGAAGGCTTTTTATCAGATCCCAATGCTTTATTAAGCGCGAGTGTGTATCACTCAGGCCAATGCCTTTCCTCTCCCAGGAGTAGGAATCTCAACCTGTAAAGGCCTTCACACAAACAGATAATGTTCCTGCTGTTTCTTCTTCTTGCACAGGCTTGTTTCTGCTTTCTCGAGTCTGTACATATCCTTCTGGAGTCTGCAGTCCAATCAACACTCTTATCATTCTAGTCCTAACACATCCTAGGTTTAGTAGTTCTTCAATTGTTTCTGTGATGTTTAATAAAATTCTTCACATGTCTCTGCCCTGAAGTACAATCAATTTCACTTATTCAGTATTGTAAAAACATTTTTGTTAACCTTGTGAATTATTAATAATAATTTCCAAGTCCTGATAAGAAGTGAGGAGGGGATATATTCATTGAATGATTGATGAAGGATCTGAATGTTTCTGTTTTCTTTCAAATTGGCCTTATGTCTTGATTTTTTAATACAAAACTTACGGAATAAACTTCTAAAACAAGATATATATTTACCCCATCATTGATGTGCTGTGTTTAATTTGAGGAATTATAATTGATTTACTAAATATATTGTCTTCACAGTTTCCTTGTGTGAAAATATAATTTTAAAAACTAACAGCAATGAATAAACTGAAACTGTGAAGTTAAATAAAATGGGAAATAACCCTGTATACATGATGATCATTGCCATTTATTGTAATTTAAAATTATTCAGTGCTATATTTAATGAAACACAAGTACCAGTAATAAGTATTGAAGTAAAATACCATTGAATTTTTTTTTTTTAAATGATAGAATGATAATGTATTATGTATATATATTACATATACTTTTTTTTTGTAGATTTACCTACAGTTGGTATGACTGAGTATGGCCCTGAACCGAAGTATATAAACTCAGAGGATGGTAAAATTACTTTAGCCCAAAGCCATTTTAATGAACTTCAAAGTAGAATTCATTCGCTGTCTGAAAAAGTAAGTTGTACTCCAAATGATCATTATATATTAGATCTTTGTCAGTGTTACGAGCGGGATTCGAACCCACGACCTTCCGCTTTATACGCCGCTAGTCTACTAGCTCAAGTGGTAGAGTAGCGGCGTATCAGGCTGAAGGTCATGGGCTCGAACACTGACTTTTTTATCTCAACTAAAAACCTTAATTAATTGAAAGATATTAATTGGTCAAGCAGACCACGAAAACTAGTGAATTATGTATTATCGTTGAACTGGCACTGAGTCCGTCTAAAATCGTAGGTTTTTGATGGACCCAGCAAGGGACCCAGTGCTGGTTCAACATGACTCGCAGACAAACACCCACCATCGACAATACTATTATTGGTTAATTAATATTTAATATCTTACTTAACTTTGTTTTACCTAGTATTTAAAAAAATATTGATTGCCTTGAAGGTAAAAGAAAAAGATGACCAGATAGAAGCGTTAAGAATGCTACTTACAGTTACTGATTCACCAAAAAAACAATCTTCCAATTCTCAAAATACTGAGGACGAATCTTATTTTAATTCATACTCAGGTTCATTCATTCACAACGAAATGTTGCAGGTCAGTGAAATAACATTTCTTTCAGTATACAACAGGAAATATTTGGAAAAAAATTCATGTTAACTTTTCTTTAAGGATCAACCAAGGATGGTTGCCTTCAAAGATGTGTTCGAGAAGAACAAAGAGTTCTTTAAGAATAAGACTGTTCTTGATGTTGGTTGTGGTACTGGAATCCTTGCAATGTTTGCTGCAACAGCAGGTGCAAAAGAAGTGGTTGGAATAGACGAATCAGAAATTCTTTATCAAGCTTTCGACATTCTTAGGTATGGAAATATTTGTATTCTTATGTGAAATTTTTTTGATAATTAAATATTTTATCTGAACATAATTTTTATTGCAATAAATAATAATTTTCATTTAATTATTAAATAAAGTAACCTTTTACACAATTTTCTTTGTTTTACAAGGGTGGGTAAAAAACAGAACCTTTTCAACTTTTTAAAATGTTTATTGAATTTATGCTTCTTTATGTCTTCCAATATTAGTAATTCATATGATGGTACTACTTGAGTATACAGAATTGCACCTCTGAATGAATATGATGCTGAAGTAGTGAAAAATTCTAAATTATTGATACATGCCAGAAATAGCAAGGTTCAGGACAAATATCTGAACTCAATATCGGGGCTGTAGAGTTGTTCCTTCTCGATGTCGCTTGTTGTTCTTTTGAAATGTAAGCAATTAATAAGAAGAATAACTGCAATGTATTAGTAGATTTGAAAACTAATGTTTCATGAAAAATCCAAGGAATGGATATTCCTACCTAATGGATTCATGTGCACCAGTAGAGCCTGTTGTATCTAGCCGTCGTAGATTTTGAAAAGGCATAGCATTCCCACGAAAATCATTAACCTGATTAAATGTATATACCAAGGATACAACTGTCAAGTGATCCATGAAGGGAAGTTTTCAGAACAGTTCAACATGGACACAGGAGTAAAGCCAGAAACACACTTACCCGATGCTATGCCACGCTAACCTACCCGACGGACTGCGATCCCCACTGTCCAGATTTTCGTAGGGTCGCATCGAGTACAGTCGAAGACAAAAGAACCGTACACTCATATTTTTATTCAAACTACATGTACTATTGTCGTTATATTAATTACAACATACTTATTTTAATATAAACCAAATTAACTGTGATTAAAAATTAATTAGTTTTTATTTAAAAAAATAATTTTAATGGTTTGGTAGAAAATTAATCAAAACACCGGAATACCATTTTTTGATATAATGAATTTAACTAACAATTTATTACACGGTTTTGCTCATAAAATTTAACTAACAATTTATTACAAGGTTTTGCTCAAAATAGTGCATTAAGAACAAAAGATGCGTTGCGATTGTTGTGCGATAGTGATTATTGTGATAAACGCTGTGGACTTGTGTCGGATAGATGTGCGCACCCTACCAAAACGTGGCAAGGCGTCGGGTAGCATCGGGTAAGTGTGTTCCTGGCTTTAAGCAGGGATGCATCCTGTCACCCACTTTCCTTATCCTGGTACTGAAATCAGTCATATACACATATCTGGAAGGAAGAAAAAGAGGCATTCAAATGCAGGAAAGAGAAGAGGACCTTGATTTTGCCGGCATCTTCTGTCTCTTTGCGCCAAGGAGAAGCCACCGAAAGAGAATAAATCCTAGAACGGACAACCTGCAACCTTGAAGAAGTGATTCCTTTACTGAACTAAGAAAGTACTGAGGACGATGTGAAGAGTAGAATTAAGAAAGCCAATTCTGTATTTATAGAATTACTAGTGGCCTGTTGGTGGAGCAATAGCCCCATTCTATAGACGGAATCATGGAAAGATAGTCAAGGGTTTAATATTCTACTAGTATTAAATAAATACATACTTCTGGATAGTATATTGAGACTCATCATCTTCATCTTGATTATCTGTTGTCTGACAAAAAAAAAAAAAAATAAATAAATAAATAAAATTGAATGTCTGTCCCTGAGCTTTATTTATGGTGATTGTGAAAGCGACCCATAGGGGAAATTGAATCCTGACCATTGCAAAGGGAATGTTGGGATCAGTAAATATTAACTTTATTCTAGGCAAAAAAATTACACTTCCTTTTCCTACAACTGTCATGACCTCTAGTTTGACAGCTTTTCCACCAAAAATATAACATACAATAAAAAACAAATAATATTAGTACTGAAAAGTACTGTTTTTTTTGTTCTGAAAAGTGCTTTCTTTTTTTCCTGAAAAGTACTGTAAATGTAAAAGCAAGGTGGAGAGACATATACAAAGGCTGACAGATAACTTACAAGTTTGAAACAGCATTGAGCGTCTGCCACCTGAGTCTGAGGTAAACCTGACGGCTGACTCTAAAGCCAACGGTGGGTGCACACACTAACCCCCACTACTCCCCCACCCATCATATTTTAATTGCTCATCATCCTCACACGGTGGGTGCACAAACTAACCCCCACTACTCCCCCACCCATCATATTTTCATTGCTCATCATCCTCACATGGTGGTTACTCAAACTAACCCCCACTCCTCCCCCACCCATCATATTTTAATTGTTCATCATCCTCACACGGTGGGTGCACAAACTAACCCCCACTACTCCCCCACCCATCATATTTTAATTGCTCGTCATCCTCACTATTAATAATTTGTACTTTTGATAATTTTCCAAATAAATTGGAGGTCAGGGCTTTTGTTTAAGCCATCAAGAACGAAAATCCGTGAAGTGGTTCAGTCATAGTTTTGATCGGTGTTTCAGGTTTGTGTTCACAATAATATATAAAGATTTTTGATATGGAAAAACAAAACAATCTCCAGGCAAACCAAATTTACACTCTTCGATATAATTGTTGCCTGCAGCGGATTCTCAGAATATGTTGGCCTGAACAAATAAGCAATGTATAGCTCTGGAAAAGAACCAGCCAGCTTCCCATACATGAAGTATGTAAAAGAATATGGAAATGGATAAAGCATACACTAAGAAAAATGGATGGTGTCGCCGGGAGAAGTACCCTAGAGTGGAACCCACAAGGGCAACGCAAGCTTGTATGACTGAGGCCAACGTGGAGATGATCACTGGTAAAGGAACTTAGGACAGTTAGGAAGTGGAGAGCGGCCAAGACAGGCCAAGGCCACTGACAGAGAGGGTTGGAAGATCTTTATGCTCCACTGTGAGCGACAAATTAAATAAGCATGGTTATATATCTGCGATATAAATTAATTAGTGATATGGGGTCTGTGGGATGATGTCCTTCCTACAGATCGGTGGTTTCTGATCATTTTGTTCTGCCTGACCTTTCTGTTTTGGTATGTCACATTGACCCAGCACAGCAGAAGGTAAGAAGCTGAAATGCTTCTGTCAGAATAAAACTGAAAATAGGAAGACCAAAGTATAAATAAATAATTTGTTGTAAACATTAAATTTAACAATGAAACACTTTTCTTTACTCACCCTTACATTGTTTTAAAATTTAAAAAGGTCATTAATTTTTATTATACATACTTTGTTTGTATTAAACTTGTTCATTTATGAATAATGCATATTTATGTTTTAATGTTAATATCGAAGGCATATTTAGAAAGTATTATGAGCCAAAAACTATTACTACTTATAAAGGGTAGGTTTCAATAGATGCATGTGCAATAGTTATTGCCCTTTTTTTATTTATTTCATCTTAATTAAATTATTGTTGGTTAAAAACTTACATAATAGTTTAACATCTCACATGATCGGCACAAATGCTGAAACATCACCTTCATTTAGTACCAATAGAAACTAAGACGGAAAAATTAAAATCTATTTTTTTTTTTTTTTCAGAGAAAATGATTTGCATAATGTTGTTAAATTAATAAAAGGCAAACTAGAAACACAAGAACTCCCCCTTGAAAAATTTGATGTGATAATATCCGAGTGGATGGGATATTTTTTGTTATTTGAAGGCATGCTAGATTCTGTAATTTATGCTAGAGAAACATATTTAGCCCCAGGAGGGTTGATGTTACCTAGTAAAGCCAGTATTCATCTTAGTGGAGTAAGTGATTTAGGTATGTAGAAAATATATATCCTTAATAAACATATTCTATTGGGAATTTTTTTCTAAATGTTTTTTACATGTTATTAATTTTAGAACGACATAATTATATGATATCATTTTGGGATAATGTGAGCGGTTTCAAAATGTCTTGTATGAAGACGTTATCGGCCCAAGAACCATTTGTTGAATTGGTGAAAAGTGAAACTATCATAACTGACGTTCATACTGTATACACTTTGGACATATCAACTTGTACATCAGAAGATATGAATTTCTCAACCGATTTTGAATTGACAATAAATCAGAGTTCGACGTTAACAGCTCTTGTCGGTTCATTTGATGTAGATTTCAATTTACCTTATTCAGTGACACTTTCAACATCGCCAAAGGCACCTCGTACACATTGGCAACAAACTGTGTTCTACATCAAGAATCCTATCTCTGTGGTTGCTGGTATGTATTTTATATTTTTTAACTTTTTTTTATAATTGAGTGTAGATATAGTTCCAAACATAATGCAATCTGGAACTGTGATTACCTAGGAAATTGTAAATCTGATTTCTTTAATCAATAATGTCATAAAACATTATACTGTATGATTAATTTATGTAATGTGGATAAGAAATGTTTTACTCCTTAACCTCTTCAGGGCTAATTTTTAGTTTTTTTAGTTGCTAAAACAAATTCCCGCGAAAAATCAAAAAGATAATAGGGGATGGTAGGGAAGGGTAGAGGGTTGTTAAGGGCAGGGGTGAGAGGTACACGAAAATAGGACATTCCCAATGAGAGGTAAATATTGCGGCTGAATGGTTTTCCAGAAAAAGGAATGTCACAATTTTGCAAAAGTTTGACAGAGAGGCCAGGTGTGGGAGGTGTCTGCCACACATTGGATACGACCTATGCCCAGTAAATGCCGTATGTGTCCAGCTAGGGTAGGGCTCTTAAAATGGGGGAAGGGACAAGAACTAGCACACAAGCCTGATTGAGATCTTGTTACTAGTTACAAAAGGTTAATCATGTACAAGTAATATTTTGAGTAACAAATAAGGAAACAAAACTTATTGGTTTATTTATATTTATTTACTTTTTGTTTTTGACTCAGAAAATCTTCTTTCTTAATTTTAAGTAAGGTTTTTTTCTAATAAAATATTTATTACCATCTGTGATATACATTTTATAATTTTATGGAATATCATACATATTTACAATACATTATGTCATGAGGGAAGTTAACGATCATTGATTTTCTCCCAACTTTACACAAGGGCTAGTCCTTGGTGAGGAAGTCCGAGGGCCATCTCCGCTTTAGTTGCGTTAGTGATGGGATTATAGGGATGGATTATGTTGGATATGGATTGGGCTAGTTGGAGGCTAATTTATGGCTGTAATAGGTGGAGGAGGCTTATTAGGAGAAGACGGCAAAGATCGATATGCTAAGTTAGGAGATATTAAGATTTCTTCGAATGGAGCAACAAAAGAAACTCATGAGAAAATCATAAAGGGCTCAAAATGGGAAGTAGTAACAGAGAATTTAAAAATTTTTCTTGGGTGAGTGGAGAGTTTACCATGTAACTTAGAAAATTTGTTGGTGATTAATTTATTTACAAATGGTATTTTTATGTCATTGATGAGGGTGGTATTGGAGATATAGTAGGGAGTGTTGACTATTATTCTGAGGACTTAGGAATTGGAATGGCTGAATTTGCTGGAAATTGGTAGGTGTAGCGGTTCTAGTCCATATGTCCTGATCTGTTTCATTAGTGTTTTGTAGTGTTTCCCCCCATATGTTAACTTTCCGCCATGTAATTCATAAAGAAGTCTGAAGTGTCTGTTTAGTCTTGTCTTTTTATTTGTATGTATCAGTTCCAGGTTAAGCATGTGTCAAGATAGAACCGAAGGTAGCGTACACAGTCATTTTTAGGAATGGAATGTTGTTGAGGAATATTGTGTGAGGGTTTTTTTCTTCTGAGGGAAATGTAACATGGGTACATTCATTTTCGTTAATTTATATCGGCCAAAGTTTGCTCCATTCGGCTAAGTAAGGTAATAAATTTTTTTCAACAAAAAACACAACCCTAAAAAAAGTTTTCTGTGAAAGATGGTGTAAATTGTTTTGCAACAAACTGATTGCAAGATGTCATATAAAAGAATAAGTGTTTTGGATAGATCACTAAACTTTTAGAGCCTTTACTCTTTGATTCTCACTTAATCTAGTAAAATTGGCGTGTATTATTGGCATATTAACAAAGAGAAAGAATGAGTTACTGCACGCACGAGTTTTTGCTTGCGCGTGAATTGAGACGTAAAATGTATTCAGAGTATAAAAATAATAATAACCACAAAGGTACTTTGTTTTTGTTCCAGGTCAAAAACTGAAGTGTCGCATATTATGTAAGAAAAGAGCAGTGAATGCAAGATCATTTAACATTACAATTACCATTGAAGGGAAATCACAAACATACTTATTATTTTGAATGAAACAAATTGTTATTGTTTAACAGAAAAAAAAGAGCGAAATAAGGTAAATTGAACTAACTAGAGGACGTTAATGGTCTTTCTCACATGCTTCTTCATTTGTCTTTCAAGTTGTACATGTTAATTTTTTTCTGAGACTGATGTACATGGTAGCAGATTGGTTTGTTTAATACCTTGATGACAATATAAACATATTAATTAAGAAAATAAGTTAATATGTCTATGAGGCAAATCAAATAATTAAAAATTGCTACGGGACCACATGGTATTTTTAATTGGGTCTCTTGTTTCGATCTGTTAGTATCTATTAAAGTTAGAAATTAATGCTTAGAACAATCTTTTATTTAATCCAAAAGTGCTTTAGCTATTATCTAAACTAGTTTTAAAATGACTCACCTAGAAATTAAAAGTACACAAACAGAAATTTCATATATATATNTATATATATTAGTTATTTTACAAAGTCTTTTCTCAAAATATTTATTATTTTTTGCTGTGCATTTTTTGTTTTGTTTTTATTCTTGAGAGGGAGAGAGAGGAAAAATGTTATTTATTATCTGGTGAGTTCATTTGTTTGTTAAAATCTTTACTATTTCAAATTAAATGTTATAATCTTTTAAATGACAATCGAATGTTAATTGATTTTTTTTTCCTTGTAGCAGTTAAAGAAAATAAAGCTGGATACGTTAAATGTAAAATATTTAAAAAAAATGTAATTGTTTAATACAAGATGCAATAATAAGCTTTATTTTTAAAAATGTTTTGTCCTACTACTTTTTTTGTTTGCCTAATGTTTATAAGAATAAATATACAGCAACTTTCTTATATTTTTGTATATGCACAAATGAATTGTAGTAGATAAGTAAGGGAAAGAAAGTGGTTTTTACTTCTTTTTCTGAAAGAAATTTAATGATTTGTCTGTGGTCACTCGATAAGATTTACATAAAACAAATTATTAAAACTTTAGGGAAATTAGGCTCTCAAATTTTATTTCATTATGTAAAATAATTTCATTAAATTAATTTAAATCAACTGCAACACATAAATCGTTAAGTGATAATTGTAATAGAAAATTTTTTTATGATAAAGAGTATTTTATTATTCATACCAAAACATGCTAGGGCAAGTCAGAAAACAATTACCGCAGAACATTCCCATTTTACTCTTCCGTAGACATGTATTTTTTTGTAAATATAAGAATGTTTACAACTTTGTTGTTTTTCTAATTTATCTCCTGGTCCTATACAATTAAGATGTATTGTTATTGTATCCCCTGTTCTGTACTGACAGCATACCAGTTTGTGCTAGTTCTTCAAGAAATTTAATTGATAGACTCGATTTCAATTGTTGAATTTCTTCTACATTGCACGTACCAAGTACTTCCTAGGCAAATGTAGCACCACAGTTTGTTAGTAGGTGTATTGGTGTCTCCTTTGCTTCTTTTCAGAATCTGCACATGCTGTGTAGGATTTCACCAATCTTTTTAGATGCCCCTTCAGTCTGTATTACCTGTCAAGAATCCTGTCAGTGGACAAAGTTTTTCCTGCTTCCTTATACATTCTGTTGTTTCTTTCCTCCCAAAATTTGCTAGAACTGTCTTGAATTGTTTGTGCCCAATTAGGGGCATATTCTACTGTTTCCTCATTTTCATTTTGTCTTTTTGTCTAAGATATCATTGATAGAGTGTCCCTATGCTACAGAAGGGCTTAGGACCTACCAGTATATAGCAGCCCCCTTCCTTGCAATGGNCTCTCTCTCTCTCCCTCCCTCCCTCTCTCCCTCAGTTCGGTTCTCAGTTTAGGTTCCAGGACTCAACACTTTCTTGCATTCTAGATCCATCAAGGGAGGATTCTTTCCCCTTTTTACATTCTTTTTTGGTACGTAGTTCTGTTCAGAAATTTTGTTTGTATTCAAACATCTTGTTCATGTCATCCCTTGATGTCATCAATATCGCATGTTCAGATTATACAATTAGTCATGTAGTAGTGAATTTAAAATAAAATAACTATTTTCTACATAAACTAGAAATAAGAAATCCTGAAGTGTCCCTGTAGACATTTTTTAATACAAATTTTATCTAAGTTCTAATATTAAAAAACAAGTACATCATCCCACAAACTCACTGCATATTTCACTACATATTTATGTTTAGTGGTCTAATTGACCATTTTTAATTATTTCAATTAATTATTCTTTTTATGTAAGGTCTTAGTTGAGATAAAAAAAAGTTAGTGTCATGAGCAGGATTCAAACTCACGACCTTCGGCTGGGTTCAAATCCCACTCATGATGCTAACTTTTTCATCCCAACCAAGACTTTACATAAAAAAAGTAATTAATTGAAATTTCACTCTAACTTAAAAGAGACATTCACTAATTTTCGTGGTCCATTTGACCAATTAATAGGTTTTTTTAGTTGAGATAAAAAAGTGAGTGTCACGTGCAGGATTCAAACCCACGATCTTCGGCTAGAAACGCCACTGCTCTACCACTTGAGCTATCATGACTTCGATCCACTCTGACACTAACTTCCCATCTCAACCCCATCTTTTGAATTTTTCCTCCTTTAGTGGCCCACTGTTTTCTAATCCTTTTCCTACTTAACAGAATGATTGTTCAGAGTCCGCCAAGAATCAACCTACTCTGAGTATTTCCTCTGGAGCAGGTGTACACTAGGGCACCATACATGGACTGATCCTTTACCTCTTCTACACAACAGATATCCTATCTTCACCTCCACCATCCATTGTCAATGGCATAGCTGTGCTATCCTCTGATACCGATCCCACAATTGAGGAGGAGCTCCAGACACATGTCCTGCAAATAGCCGAATAGTGCAAATACTGACATGCTCATCAAGTTAATTGAGACATAACAAGCCATGAGAACATCGCACGGTCTAACAAAGCAGCAAATAGTGTAAGTTTCAGGGAAGTATTTATCTATCATTATTTTTTTTTTTTTTAAGCTGTTTCATAGGTCTATGAGGTGAAGGGCTGTCCTTTACAACCCTCAAAAATGTGTTGGCTTTGCAGATTTCTTGTATAACTGAAGTCACTGGATGTTGCCTGTATCTTTGTAGTGTTTGATTTTTTAACATACCAAGGAGTACCAAGCTACGAAATCTGTAAAATGTGGTTTTGTAAGGTTTGAAAGGAAATAGAGATTTTTATGTGCTCATTTCATTAAAGTCTCTTGACAAGATGCTGTCTGATGTTTTTTTCTGGAATTTTAACTATTCAATATTTATCTATTTTATGTTTTAGTGGTTAATTGACCAACTTTCTTCTTTCAATTAATTTGATTAATGGGATTTGAACCCACAATCTTCGGCTAGATATGCCGCTGCTCTACCACTTGAGCTATCGAGACCTCGATCCTCTCGGACACCAACTCTCCATCTCAACCTACAACCACTCGAATTTACCCTCTTTTTGCCATTTTCAAATGTCATGTAATCAGAATTGGATTCTCAGCGACTTATGAAATGGCCATGGGGAGCTGTTTAGTGAAGTGATACTTCTTTTACTTATTAAATATTAATCCATTTTATGTTTTAGTGGTTAATTGACCAAGTTACTTCTTTCAATTAATTATTTTTTCTATATAAGGTCTTGGTTGAGATAAAAAAGTCAGTGTCACCTTCAGCTAAATACGCCGCTACTCTACCACTTGAGCTATCGTGACTTCACTCCTCTCAGACATCAACTCTTTATCTCTATTCAGTATGATGATATTTTCTGTGTACATTTATGTTTTTTATTATGCCTATTTTTGTTCATTGAGTCATTCAATTAAATTAGCTTCTTTTTAAAACTACTTAGCTCTCCAGTGGCTTTTAAAATTGAATGTAGGGGTGTTGGCTGCCTGGTTAAGGCATTGAGATGGTAATGCATCACTATAAGGTAAAGGTCCTAGTTGAATTCAGGACCACAGCACATTTCTACAAATGGCATTTTTTCAAAACCTAAGGGTTCATAGTTAGTAGATGCAATAGCTTCAAGCCAAAAGAAAAAAGTATAATAGATGCCATGCTTACATTCTATTGTAAAGTTTAGTAATAGGTTTATGTTTTCATTCGATATAAGTCTCTTGACAATTTGAAATTTTTTAATTTCTTTACATGAGGGTTTGCAATAGCAGAGGCCATATCAATCACAGGGGTGCAAGTGTTAAAAAAAATTGTAATTACATACAGTAGCTGTCTTAATATAAATCCTCAAAAATGATTATTTATTCCTATCTTTATAATATCCTTAATAATACTTATAATTATATCTTTTCATCTTGGTGTAAAATTATCCTGCAACCTTTCATGGCAGCCACATAATGACAACAGAAAAATCTAGATGCTTGAACAGTTATTTGAGTGCTGTGGTTTATTCAAATCTTGTCAAAAGTCTTGTCCTACCTTACTTCACCTTCTGCACACTGTAGTACGTTTTCCCTTGTCATCTGATGAAATATCTCAATTAATTATCAGTATTAACAATTATACTTGTTTTGCACTTAATACGCCATGCTCCCTCCCATATTTTGAAATGTGTAAAATTTATTTTTGGCAGTGGGATTAAGCCCTGAGAATGATGATTATGGATACGAGGAAATGGGATTTTTGTTCCTCAAACATTGCAGCCTTCCCACTTATTGTACTTTCCAGGTTTCTTAGTTAAGCCCGTCAATTCGATCCTTCTTTTAAGGGGAACTAGGTCATTGTATTTCATTGCTACAACTCCTTTCCCTGGGTTTTCTATGTATTCCGGGTTATGTTTTCATTGAGTGGTAGTTCACATTCAGCCCATAGGTGGCTATTTCTTCCTCCTCATTGCATAACCTACAAATGGGGTCATTGAATGTAGATGCTTGTTATGCTTATGTAGTGGTGTTATGTAGATGCTTTCTCAGATGCCAGTAACCAGTAGTTCTATCATTCCTCTGAGTTTAGCCCTATCTAGACCTATTGGGCCACCAACGCCTTTGAAACTACTACTTATGAATATATAAATATATATAAATCTACTTACAATATCAGAAATTGTGGCTTCAAACATAATGAATTTATGAGTTTAGCGTAGTAGTGTGGATGAGATCTACAATCTGTCCATTCTATTATTACGATAATTTAATGATTGAAAAAACGTAAGTTTCACTATGTTCATATTTGTTGTTCTGTGAATGCCTAACATATGTCCAGCTCCTGGGAAAACATAATTAGTGCTAATGGGGATTGAAGGTAATGAACAGACTGACAAACTATCTAAAACAGGAGTAGCCCCTAGCATGTTAAAATCAGAGCTGAACAAATGGATGGAGAAAGAAGAAATGACCAAACACAGGATAAATTCAGGATTCAAAAACCAACCCTGCTTCCTAGTAGTGAACTCTGGAAAATCGAGTAGGCTAAAGGAGCTCTGGTGTCATGTACCCTTTAAAGTGAGGTACTCAAAC